GAGAGGGCCTAGAACTGAGCACTGGGGGACACCAGTGGTGAGAGCACGTGGTGCGGAGACAGATTCTCGCCACGCCACCTGGTTGGAGCGACCTGTCAGGTAGGACGCAATCCAAGAGTGAGCCGCACCGGAGATGCCCAACTCGGAGAGGGTGGAGAGGAGGATCTGATGGTTCACAGTATCAAAGGCAGCAAATAGGTCTAGAAGGATGAGAGTTAGCTTTAGCAGTGTGGAGAGCCTCCGTGACACAGATGAGAGCAGTTTCAGTTGAATGACCAGTCTTGAAACCTGACTGGTTTGGATCAAGAAGGTAATTCTGAGAGAGATAGCAGGAGAGTTGACTATAGACGGCACGCTCAAGAGTTTTGGAGAGAAAAGAAAGAAGGGATACTGGTCTGTAGTTGTTGACATCGGAGGGATCGAGTGTAGGTTTTTTGAGGAGGGGTGCAACTCTCGCTTTCTTGAAGATGGAAGGGACAAAGCCAGCGGACAAGGATGAGTTGATGAGCGAGGTGAGGTAAGGGAGAAGGTCTCCGGAAATGGTCTGGAGAAGAGAGGAGGGGATAGGGTCAAACGGGCAGGTTGTTGGGCGGCCGGCCGTCACAAGTCGCAAGATTTCATCTGGAGAGAGAGGGGAGAAAGAAGTCAAAGCATTGGGTAGGTCAGTGTGAGCAGGACCATCAGTGTCATTTGACTTAATAAATGAGGATCGGATGTCGTCAACCTTCTTTTAAAATGGTTGACGAAGTCATCCACAGAGAGGGAGGAGGGAGGGGGAGGAGGAGGAGGATTCAGCAGGGAGGAGAAGGTGGCAAAGAGCTTCCTAGGGTTAGATGCAGAGGCTTGAAATTTAGAGTGGTAGAAAGTGGCTTTAGCAGCAGAAACGGAGGAAGAGAATGTAGAGAGGAGGGAGTGGAAAGATGACAGGTCCGCAGGGAGTCTAGTTTTCCTCCATTTCCGCTCAGCTGCCCGGAGCCCTGTTCTGTGAGCTCGCAATGAATCGTCAAGCCACGGAGCAGGAGGGGAGGACCGAGCCGGCCTGGAGGATAGGGGACATAGAGAGTCAAAAGATTCAGAGAGGGAGGAGAGGTGGGTTGAGGAGGCAGAATCAGGAGATTGGAGGGAGAAGGATTTAGCAGAGGGAAGAGATGATAGGATGGAAGAGGAGAGAGTAGCGGGAGAGAGAGAGCGAAGGTTGCGATGACACATTACCATCTGAGTAGGGGAGAGTGAGTAGTGTTGGAGGAGAGCGAGAGAGAAAAGGATACGAAGTAGTGGTCGGAGACTTGGAGGGGAGTTGCAGTTAACCCAAAAGTACTCTAGAAGAAAACTTTATTAGACTTGGGGCTTAAATAAATTGCATTGAAATGTCTGTATGTAAAACTATAAGGAAGTTGACCGTTTTACTTTCACTTAATAATAATATGCCATTTAGCAGACGCTTTTATCCAAAGCGACTTACAGTCATGCGTGCATACATTTTTGTGTATGGATGGTCCCGGAGATCGAACCCACTACCTTGGCGTTACAAGCGCCGTGCTCTACCAGCTGAGCTACAGAGGACCACTTATGAGTTCATTCAATTTTGCACATCTGGGCTGACTGCTGGCCTATAGTATATTTCCATTTGCAACTAAAAATAGGCCTAATACATTATGCAATAAACACATTTCTATTACATGCTGATTTTGATATATCTTTAGGCCTACTATTCATATTTGTATTCGATTGGTGGTGTCTCATGAAGCTTATTTTACAGCTCAAGGATCTTGCGTAACATCGGGTGCTGCAAAGGGAACTGCATCTGGACCAAAGAACATCATCAAAGGTAAACACTAAAGCAAGTGTTATATAGCCTAATGTCTCAAATACGTTATTAAAATGTATGTTTTACTGTAATTAGTAATGGTTTATGTAGGGACACATTCAATACGTAAAGTATTCTACCTTGATAAACAATCACAAAAGTCCTTACTTTTCATTTCTTCTTCAAGATACTGTAGGTGCAACTGCTGCCCTCTAAATCTTCAACAGCATTTTTCACTCCCCATATTTAATCCTGTCTGAATTACAGAAAGTGCATCATCACGCCTATCCTCCAATTTGCACACCCTACACGCACACACACACACACACAAACACACGCAACATTAAAGGAGACGTGTAGAGATTAGGCCCCTATCAAATATATTATGTATGTATTGCATTCCATCACCCTTCAAAAGTCCTAAACCATGTCCTATCTCTACCTCAGACAAACCCGTTGTGGACCATCACCGGACGGCCCTGATCAACAGAGTGAGCCAGGTGGAACCCATCTTGGATAGGCTCCTGGAGGGGAGAATCATCAACTCAAATGCTTACAGTGACGTGAGGGCTGAAAGAACCAGACAGAAAATGATGAGGGAGCTCTTAGATGGCCCTGTGAAAGCTTGTGGGCCCAAAGACAAAGATATGTTGTTAGATATCCTGATGGATCTGGAGCCATTCCTAATGAGTGACCTGAAGGGGGAATCATGGGGATAGGGCCATTTTAGGGACAAACATGTGATGACAATAATGCACTCTATTTTACAGTATATTCTTAAATTGGAAAAATGAATTCTTTCCAAAGTTTGCAATAAATGAAAACAAATTTAATTGACCGCTGTTTTTTTCTTTTCATGAGCAAATACTGTGTGGTGAATTCTAATCATATAGCTGTTTTGAACTCAACAATAGAAAACATACGAATACATGTAGTAATGTGTTATGTAGCCTATACAAATGAGTAAACAATGCATCTGTGCTTTGGCTATGTAGTTTCTTAAACATAAACAAGCATACAGCCATTTGAATGTAAACGTCTGCTTAACATAAGAGAGTCATTGATAGCCTGGTCTCAGATCTGTTTGTTCTGTCTTGTCAATTAGTTGTCATTGTCGGGATGACAAGGAGCGGCAAGGACTGGCATGATGGCACAAACAGACTGGTACCCAGGAGTATATATTTTAGTTGCATTAGAGTTTCCATTGGACACATTCAGGTAGGTCCCTCCGTTTTGTTCCGTCTGCTTTTGTTTGCATCAGTTTCTTCCGTTTGGTTTCGTTTGGTTTCTAGCTAGTGAATACATGCTACCATCCATATATGGCTGTCTATAGAAGTAGGTGGGACAATCATCTTACAAATGCTGCGTTCACGTGCTAGTCAGAACTAGGAAACGGACATTTCTGACTAGCTAACTGGTTGTAGTCATACACTTGTTGCGTTCAACCAGTTAGCAAGTCAGAAATGTCAGAGTTTCCTAGTTCCGACTAGCACGTGAATGCGGCATTAGCCTGTTTTTAAATGTTCCAAGGAATTCTGCCTTTCACAACATGTTATCTTAGTTTGCTTGTGTGCCAATGCTTTGTATGAACAAAACAAATTAACATAGAGTACCACAGTATGAGTCATAATTCCCATAAAACCTAATGGTCAAACAGGGAAATGGTTCCAATAGTTTTTCCACCATTCACTTTTCCCATAAGGGATTTTAGAAACACTTAAAATAAGGGCTATGTTTCTTGTAGGCTTACCCTGCCGTGAAGTTTTGATAACCGTGTAAATCTGTCTAGGACAAGGTGACTTTTATCAATATATTCGCCTGTATTTTCCCCCCCCGAAAATGAAATGCTAATTAGCTGCTAACATGGCTATCATAAAGAACTGCAAATGCCATGACGATCTGGACAAGACTGCAGAATCAAGGCAAAGGGAAGAATGTTAGCTAAATGTAATAATGAATAAATTGGCTAAATTTCTTTAAAATTGACAATTCTGTGAACTGTCTTGTGCAAGTTTTAAATTGACACAGTACCTGTTAGCAAAGGTGTCAGCTAGATATGACGTGCAGGAGCTTGCAGGGATTTGTAGTCTTGCATGATGTCTACTTTGATGCTAATTTGCGTTTTCAAAACTGAGAGTAAATAGAGCCGAACATAGACGCGGGATTTGATTCCCACGGGGGAAAAGTATGACAATTTATGGACTCACTACTGTAAGTTTCTCTGGATAAGAGTGTCTACTAAAAATGGAAAATTAATGAATAGACCATTTCAGTTTTCACATAGAAATAAGTTTGGACACACCTACTCATTTTTCGTTATTTTTTTACTATTTTCTACATCGTATAATAATAGTGAAGACATCAAAACTATGAAATAACACATATGGAATCATGTAGTAACCAAAAAAGTGTTAAACAAATCTAAATATATTTTAGATTTTAGATTCTTCAAAGTAGCCACCCTTTGCCTTGATGACAGCTTTGCACACTCTTGGCATTCTCTCAACCAGCTTCATGAGGTAGTCACCTGGAATGCATTTCAATTAACAGGTGTTCCTTGTTAAAAGTTAATTTGTGGAATTTATTTCCTTCTTAATGTGTCTGAGCCAATCAGTTGTGTTGTGACAAGGTAGGGGTGGTATACAGAAGATAGCCCTATTATATCAAGCAAGTATTTTTATATTCCACAAGTATTATCAGATTAACTGTTTTGTACAGATAATTATCAGACTTAAGTTACAAATGCTGGTAAACACTCAAATACATTGTTTCATTTATTTCACAAAAGTAGTGCACTGGGCCTTTACTAGTCCTGTATTAGTGGACCGATATAGACCTCTTCAGCGAGGGCAATTCCCACCACCCCAAAAAAAAATATCTGCACCCCTACCCCCAAACTACTTCCTGCGGCTATGGGCTGGACAACTCTTTCTGCCTGCACTGCCTGCACTGCCTGCACTGGCGCTGCAGACAGATATATCTGCTAATCTACTTTTGTCTTTTTTTCCCCAAATGTTATTTAAATATTAGTATTATTTTTGTATTCAGATTTTTCAGAATCAGCACCCTTACTTTCCGCAGCTTAGTGTAGGACAGGAAGGTACTTTGACTGAGATGCACATCTTGTAAAAACAGGGGTGCGCCATAGTACTAATAAGATGATGATGGAATATTAGGAAAAAACTGACTGACCAATCAGGAGGCCAGCTTGGCGACATGCCATGATGGCAGCGAAAACGCCAGCGCGTTCCTCTGGCCGGGTGCTCCGTGTGAGGAAGCCAAAGATGGAGGAGCCTGCTCCTGCACCAATACCTTGGAGGCATCAACACGTGTATTAAATAGGTCTAGATTGTCTGACCAAATCAAAGGCTGTATAATATCAGGACCATACGATTGGGATGCCATCACTCTCTCTCACATACACACACACATTTGTAAATAATTCACTTAGCGTTTAAATTAGTGGGTATAGGCCTACAGTGCAGAAACAGAAAACCACAAACACTCACCTGATACAAGTCGACTGCACAACAGCAGCCATTTTGAGTATCCCATAAAATACATGAAGCTACCTAGGGGAGAAAATATGTAATTTCACCATTAGTTGTATCATCAATGTCTTGCACTTAGGACTCTTTTAATTGGTCTTAGGAATGAATGACCTACTGATGTTGTCATTCACATTTACTTTATCACAACTTTGCTGCAGTTGGAGGTTGGGTAGATTTTTTCATAACACCACCAAATCTGAAAGCAAGTCTGCCCTTATTACTGTAATCAAATGTATAACAAAAGGCATTTCCATTTCCAAGGACTCAAACCCCAAGTCCCTGCCATTTCTTCACTCTCTCTAAAACATCACATCAGCAGGTGAGCTGGGAGGGTTGAATGGAATCTAATGTTTTTCTTTATGACTCCAAAGTCATTCATTCATGTTTCAGTTAAATAAATAATGTGGTTCTGTGTTTGCATCCCAAATGGCCAGTATTTCCTATATGGTGCACTACTTTTACTACTGGTCTATGTAGGGAATATGGTGCCATTTGGGATACAGCCTTCATGTGCCTTGCGACAGCAGGTTCCTGTGCCTGGAAACAATTATAAGCTGTGAAGCTTACCAACAATCTCAAAAACGTTGGAGTAGAGGATGATGGTCTTTGTAGTTCGGGTCCGGTCGGACCAGAGGCCGAACAGTGGGCCCGTCAGCAGCCCACTCAGACTGAACGCAGACAAGCCCAGACCCAGGAAGTATGGAGGTGCCTCCAAAATCTGGAGATACCTCCATATTGTAGGGAGGATGACAGCTGGGAGAGAGCGAGTGGGGTAAGAGAGAGAGAGAGAGAGAGAGAGAGAGAGAGAGAGAGAGAGAGGAGAGAGAGAGAGAGAGAGAGAGAGAGGAGAGAGAGAGGAGAGAGAGAGAGAGAGAGAGAGAGAGAGAGAGAGAGAGAGATGCATTAGATACTGTATGTCTCATTTACCATTCTATCCCATTTGAAAAAGCAACATTTTCGTGTTTTTTTATGCATGTTTTAGATTTGAATAGGACAAAAACATACAAATTATATGACAGTCAGTCAGACATTTTTCATTTCATTGTGGAAATATGTGTACATTAGGCAGTCGAAATCAACTCACCATACTCAATGCCACTTAACAGAAATATCAATCCAATAGTGAGAAAAGTACAATTCTTCTTCTGACGATAATCCATCACATAAAATGACTTTTCTGGCTATTGCACATCAACGTTTGCATCCTCATATTGCTCCGACAATTTTCGAAGTCGTTCAGGGACAAATTTATCAAATTAGATTTAGCAAACAAGAGGATGATGACTCCAATCAAGCCTATTTCCCCTTGGTAAACATTGGAATGTACTCCACTTTATTTTGGAAATAAAGGTGCCAGTTTTGTTGTTTCTAAACTCTCCTTTGCCCCACAGGTAGTTGCCCCCACAGATGGGTACTATAGCAGCCTCGACAGCTGGTAAAAACAAGACAAGCCTTATCAGCATATCCCCCAGAGTCATTCGTCCTCCATGATCCACTATAATCCTATTAGTAAATATCCCAGACAAGCCTAATTTCTTCAAATACCTCAAGGTAAATTCTGTTTGTTTTCAGTCATTGGCAGCATGTTGACCAAGAATATTGGGGACTGTAGATCACTACCAAAAGCCTGAGCTCTGCATATGCCATTGCAGGTATAGCCAATGTTCTTCTTCTGGTGTTTTGTGTTACAAGGTGAGGCAAAGCACACAGGACATGATATCTATTATTCATTATAGGCAGCTCTCATTTCATTATAAACACTAGAGTTCGCACGCCACTCCAGACCAAAGTGCATATACACTACCAGTCAAAAGGTTTGGACACACCTACTCATTCCAGGGTTTTTCTTTATTTTTACTATTTTTTACATTGTAGGATAATAGTGAAGACATCAAAACAATGAAATAACACATATGGAATCATGTAGTAACCAAGCAAGTGTTAAACAAATCAAAATATATTTTATATTTGAAATTCTTCAAATAGCCTCCCTTTGCCTTGATGACAGCTTTGCACACTCTTGGCATTCTCTCAACCAGCTTCATGAGGTAGTCACCTGGAATGCATTTCAATTAACAGGTGTGCCTTGTTAAAAGTTAATTTGTGGAATTTCTTTCCTTCTTAATGCGTTTGAGCCAATCAGTTGTGTTGTGACAAGGTAGGGGGGTATACAGAAGATAGCCCAATTTGGTAAAAGACCAAGTCCATATTATGGCAAGAACAGCTCAAATAAGCAAAGAGCATTTGCAGAGCTCAGGGACAGTCCATCATTACTTTAAGCCATGAAGGTCAGTCAATGAGGAACATTTCAAGAACTTTGAAAGTTTCTTCAAGTGCAGTCGCAAAAACCATCAAGCGCTATGATGAAACTGGCTCTCATGAGGACCGCCACAGGAATGGAAGACTCCGAGTTACCTCTGCTGCAGAGGATAAGTTCATTAGAGTTAGTTACCAGCCTCAAAAAGTGCAGCCCAAATAAATGCTTCACAGAGTTCAAGTCTTTAGACACATCTCAACATCAACTGTTCAGAGGGGACTGTGTGAATCAGGCCGTCATGGTCGAATTGCTGCAAAGAAACCACTACTAAAGGACACCAATAAGAAGAAGAGACCTGCTTGGGCCAAGAAACACGAGCAATGGACATTAGACCGGTGGAGATTTGTCCTTTGGTCTGGAGTCCAAATTTGAGATTTTTGGTTCCAACCACCGTGTCTTTGTGAAACACGGTGTGGGTAAACGGATTATCTCCGCATGTGTATTTCCCACCGTAAAGCATGGAGGGGGAGGTGTTATGGTGTGGGGGTGCTTTGCTTGTGACACTGTCTGTGATTTATTTAGAATTCAAGCAGGGGCGGTGTGTTCAATAGGGCGATATGGGCGACGCACTGCCAAACGGGAAAAGGAAGGGATTTTTTTTCTAATCAATTATATCACGGCAACAGTAGTTATCAGTGTTGTAATCTAGACGTCTGATCTGCCACAGTGCCACTAAATGTCCAATCAGGCTAAAGTCGTGCTTCAAATGCCCCCCCCCCCTTTTGGGGCGATTTCAGTCAGGTTGAAAATCGCCCAGAAGTCTGTCATAGACTCCCATGTAAAATCTATTTTTTTCAAATATCAGAGCTTTCAATACAATCTCTATGGGTTTCTGAGGGCTTGCACTTACGCGCTTTCGTCATACGTAACATAACCATGAACGTAACTAAGAAAAGAGCGGGTAGCAGCGTCAATCAATTCACTACTACTATCAAAATGGCTAGGCTTCAGTGCAACTCGATTGTGTCTTTGAAAGAAGTTCCTTTTTGTCGGCGAACAAATGAAGATAAATTGGCAACGAAACAATTAGGACCTCCCAGACCAAATTTAATAATTCAACAGGTTTCTACTAAAGGGGGGAAGTCCTACACCCGAGGATTTTCCAAAAATTGGTACGAACGAAAAACCTGGCTAGCAGGCTGCGATGTAGCTAATGCAGTCCTCTGCTACCCCCTGCTTACTCTTTCACCCTGAAGGCGGCACGGCAGACAGCACCGCTTGGACAGCGACTGGTGTGTAACGGACATGCACCATCTTTCAGGAAAGATTAAGAAACATGAGCTGTCAAAGACCCACATGGATAGCTGTTTGAGATTGTCTGCTTTGGGGAGAGTGAACATTCCCACTCAACTGGATGAGGGATACAGGCTAGCTGTCCGCCGCCACAACGATGAGGTTAGTGTTGATAATCACAAGTTTACTGGAGAACTGAAACTGACAAGGCTGACAAGATAGGACCCTTTTGTCCATTGTTATTGGATAGGAACAGAACTTATAACCAGCTCCTGACCTAAATAGATCTTAGCACAACATTTTACTCAACATATCATATTCCATATTCACTATAACAAATATATTTACTACGACATTAGCAAGAACCGCCACATCCTCAGCCGGCTAATCCAGTGTGTGAAGTTTTGCGGAGTGTTTGAGTTAGCTTTGCGAGGCAAAGATGAAACTGAGGGCTCCACCAACCCTGGTAAGCCAACACTTTTGAGATCAGTCAATAAATGCTTCTGGTATTGACTTATATGCTGCCCCTGTCTTCATGTTGTTGCTGGACATATCTTTTTTAAAATGTGTGTAGGTCACCTAAATCATCAGAAAAATTGCCCCCCCTGAGAATTTTTTCAGGAGCCGCCACTGGATTCAAGGCACACTTAACTAGCATGGCTACCACAGCATTCTGCAGCGATACGCCATCCCCTCTGGTTTGGGCTTAGTGGGACTATCATTTGTTTTTCAACAGGACAATGACCCAGCACACCTCCAGGCTGTGTAAGGGCTATTTTACCAAGAAGGAGAGTGATGGAGTGCTGCATCAGATGACCTGGCCTCCACAGTCACCCGACCTCAACCCAATTGAGATGGTTTGGGATGAGTCGGACGGCAGAGTGAAGGAAAAGCAGCGAACAAGTGCTCAGCATATGTGGGAACTCCTTCAAGACTGTTGGAAAAGCATTCCAGGTGAAGCTGGTTGAGAGAATGCCAAGAGTGTGCAAAGCTGTCATCAAGGCAAAGGGTGGCTATTTGAAGAATCTCAAATCTCAAATATATTTGGATTTGTTTAACACTTATTTGGTTACAACATGATTCCATATGTTTTATTTCATAGTTTTGATGTCTTCACTATTATTCTACAATGTAGAAAATAGTAAAAATAAAGAAAATCCCTTGAAAGAGTGGGTGTGTCCAAACTTTTGACTGGTACTGTACACAAGCAACACTTTAAAATAGCCATCCAGGTGAAATAGTAAGTGCTACCCTAACCCTAGGCTACGAGCTACAGTATACATAGAAAATTGCCCTCTTAGTAATGGTTTATGAGTGTAGCGTACAGTGTTAGCAGTGATGGCCCCTGCACTGCATGCAACCTCTCCACAAATATACCAGCACAGAAACATATTTGGGATTTACATTTTAGAATGTATACTAAAGTATCAGGTACCTTCTCCTGGATATCTGAATATAGTTCACATAAGAGTCAAATACACTTCACATGGTGGTCAAACATGTCATAACATACAGTAAATACAATCACATGGTGGTCAAATATGTCATAACATACAATAAATACAATTCACATGGTGGTCAAACATGTCATAACATAAATACAATCCACATGATGGTCAAACATTTTGTAATATAAATACTCAAATTTCACAAATGATAGGCCTTACTCTTGCTCAGTTAAATGTCATTTAGCAGATGATCCAGAACTACTTACAGTAATGAGTTCATAAATTTGTCATACTGGGAATTGAACCCACAACCCTGGCATTGCAAGCACCAGGCTCTACCAACTGCGCCACACGGGATACCTTCACAAGCTAGCGTGGGCCAGATGCCCTTGGGTTGTTGGATTAAACAAATTTAATTTTAAACAAATATCTCCATGTTTCCCTTTCACATAATCAACATGGCATGAATAATATAAGTTGTTTTAGTATAGGAAAATCATGAATAATGAATTGCTAAAGGTATGTTTACGAAACTCCTGATGTTGCTGTCATATAAACTGTGGTAAGACAGTTGTTCAGTCTTTCCTCAAATGAAAGGGACTTGGGAAACAACCAACATGGCAAGGAGGCTTGGCAGGACACACCCATTCGGGTAGGTACCCTTGAGTGACCCTTTGGTCACCTGTATTTTTGTCTCTGTGTGTGTTCTGTTTCATTCTGTTCTGTAGTACAGATGTAGGATCTTAATTTGATCACCCTGTTGCAGAATAACTATCCTGCGATCTTAATTTGAGCCAGTTTGCTACAGCAGGAAAATAATCCTGCAGCAACACAAGAGTGATCAAATTAATATCCTACACCTGTACATTTTTTCCGTTTTTTATTTCAAGTGTGACATCTTCAAATAACATAAAAATAGTATAATCATACTGATCACAGTGTATGCAGGGATAACTGTCAGAATTACCTAATAAACAATACTTACTCTCTTCCAACAATTAATAATATCAATACATTCTGCAAAATAATATATCCAATGGTATTTTTTCCCCTTTGGTAGTGAGTCTTTTTGTCTTTCTCTCAACAGTCAATGTTCAAAATCTATCAGGTATAGTTTTTTTGTGCATCAACAGTGTTCTGAGTGTAACCAGTAGCACTACTT